ATATAAACAATTTAAAAGTGCAAAAATCGCAAAAAAACTGTATTTTTTCTCATTTTTCTTCATCCGGCACTGCAGACGCTCGTAAAGAAAAACATAGATGACGTCATCGTTTCGTTACATTATTGTTTATGACATCAAAGTTCGCGACAATTTCCTCTACAGCGATTTTGCTAAATTGTATGATTATAGGCCTACAGTAACATAAATGGACTATCTATATTCATGTCGTTCTTATCCCGAACAGTTTGCAGATATCTATCCTTTTTTAATATTTCAGCGGAGGCAGTTCTATCACACGGTGTGGTAGTCATCTACGGCAAGGCCCTCTGTTCCATATATAAGGAAATAGCCCGATGTAGTAAGCACAGAATTGCAAGTGAGAAAATTGTAAGGTTTTAGAAGAACCGTACAATTCCCTCACTCCTTAGAAATGAAAAAAGACGCCATCGAGAGAAAATAGTGCCTCAAAACAATTTGAAAGGCTAGAAATCTAAAAAGCCTTCGGGAGAAGGACAGTAGCTCACTTTGAGGAGACAGACTAGAGTACATATAAAAAGTTAAATGAAGGTTTCTTCTTCCAGTAGTGAGACTTAGTAATACAGTAGATCCCCCTATAAGACGGGTTCCTATAATTACGATTCCTATAAGACGGCGAAAAAATTGTGGCGGTATTCGTAAAGAACGGTAAAAAACTCCTATAATTACGTAAAACGTCATCGGGCAGCCGAACTACTTTCCGCCGTCCAGCGCCACGCTACGGACAGTTTAGGCGGATAAATTGAGTTTAGTATCGTCTGTACATATAATTATATATAAATTAGGTACTGTATATATAATTATATATTAACTTATTGTAACTTTATTATAATTATATATATACTTTCCGCTGTCTAACGCCACGCTACGGAGAGTTTAGGCGAGCTATCGTCTGTACAGTATGTAAATTAGATACCGTAAGTCTAATACAGCACTGTAATTTTATACATTTCTTGTGAAAGAAACATTTCTTATTCAACGGCGATTAAAATTATTTATATTAACGATGTCTCCAAAGTTCAACGAAGTTTTCGCAGAAAAATAACATCAGAAATCGCGGCCGCGGTTTGCTGCGCTGTTCCGCGACGAAAACAAGCTTGAGCAACGGCGATGTCGAATGGTGACACTCGGTAAGTAATCCTACAATTTTTTGTTTATAGCGTAGTTTATACGGATTATTTCCAAAAAAACTATACGTATTTTGGAAACGTTGAGTCGGATTAGTCTAGAATCGATTAATTTTATGGAAGAAAACCTTTTGTAAACTTCACACGTGTCAGGCTGTGATTCCTACAAAATTGATTCATAAAGAACGGAACGTATCTACCGTCTTATAGGGGAATCGACTGTATTTATCACGTCTTTCGTAATTACGCACAATTAAATTTAACTACTGTATTATCAAAATGTTTTAAAACCTACCGTAATTTATTTTAAATTTGAAACAGATAATAAAATAGACAAGTTTTAATTAGAAAAGAATTTTAAACATTTTTATTTTAAAAATTATGGTGTTGCAGGAATATAATTAAATTCAATATATACATAGCGGCATGAATTTTACGTGATCAGTGATTGATGTAAGAGCAGTGGCGTGCGGTGACATTTGATGATAGGCAAGCTGTGCCGGCCCCGGATACAATCGTTGGAAGAGTTATACGTGGTTGGTGCTTTGTAAAATGCATGAGCGAATGCGTAAAATCTGGCTGCTTTACACGATTCAAATATTTTCGCTGTGGAATCTGTACTGTATTCGACAATACAGCGCTTCCATTGGCAATATGCATATACGAATTTATATTCGAATATATCATTGTTTTTCACATGTATAGAAATTTGTAATAAGATACATACAAGGGAATTTTAGAAAATACAAGGGAAGCGGCGCTTCCACAGCTTCCATGGACGGCACGCCACTGTGTAAGATAACTTCGCTTGTCGATCTATCACATGTCCATGACCACACTAACTTATACTGTACGTGTTTCATTTTCAATAAATATGTTTTTATAAAGTTCTTTAATAGTAGCGTTAAAAAATATTTTGAGGAATTTTCACGTGTCTTCGCGTGTTGCAGGATTTCGTTCGAAAATGTACGACAGTCCCATACAATGCGGTATAGTTGGCAACGCTAGGTACTGCATCAGACAGACCTAATTAGGACGAAAACGACAAATGAAAATGTCGACCAGATTCACGCGTTGTTCCAGCAAAGTCCTCGAAAATCCATTTGTCATGCAACTTTAAAACTGAATCTTCCAAGATCTGCGATCCACGTAATCATCATAAGAGGTTGAGATGCATGCATACAAATTGCAGATTGTTTAGCAGGTGATATCTGATGGCCATCCGAAAAGAAAGGATTTTGCTATCTCCATGCTGTCAAAAGTTGACGAGGGTGGATGAAATACTTTTCACACCGGGAAAAGTCAACAGATATAACTGTTGAATACGGGGTTCTGAGAATCCGCACACATATCTGAAACACTAGTGCAATAGCCCTAAAGTGAATGTCTGGTGCGCCATGACAAACGATAGTGATTGGCCCGTTTTTCTTTGCCGAAAACAGTGATAAGCAGCGATTACTTTGATATGTTTTAATTGTGTGTTGTTCCGCAACTGGAAGACCGGCAAACAAATGTGATTTTCAACAGGATTGGGCACCTCCACACTGGGAAAAAAGTCTGGCCATTACCTCGACTTTACCAGATCGATGGATCCATCGCTTGGCCTTCTCACTCACCCAATCTGACGCCTCTTGATTTTTTCCTTTGACCAAGAATAGGGTGTTTGCAAAAAAGATATCGAGTATGGAGGAATTGAAAGAATACATCACACAGGCAATCGGAATAATTCCAATTGACACGATCGGGAACACTTGGAAAGTTCAAATACAGATTGGACATTATTCGTGCAACACACTGTGCACATGTTGAGGTTTACTGAGGAAAAATAAAACTTTTCCATTTGTTTTATTACCTGCTCCAATCAATCAGTTTTTCCATCTCTGTGGTGTAATTTTTATGAACATATGTAATGGGGTGAATAATTTTCAGACATCCTGTATATAGTCGATCAGTGACTCTCTACTTGGTGCAGAGTCATTGCTGTGACTCTCAATCAAACTTTAAATCAAATGATCATAGTAACATAGACACCGATGTTCTTTTGCTTAGCTTTTTTAAATTATTGTAACAAAACATACAGAATTTAATTCTGAACAATGGATGGACAATGACTAAAAATTACAGTACTTGTAATATCTAAAGCTATCTAATTTATAGCAGCATTTTCTAATAAAATAACCTTCAGGAATACTAATGGTCATTTCTAGATTTTCCTTTATATTTCTAAATGTTTTTATTTATTCAGCTTAAAGTCTGGATGAGGAGGCATTGACAACATTTCAGAATTTTGTTGCCAATATTTTTACTCTACAAAAAGTTGGAAATGGAAAAACATTATTTATCTCGCTTAATCTCTTACAAGTTATCATTGCTGTAGTTCACTTAATTTTAATATGAAATAAAAAAATAAATTGTTAATGGGTTAATAATTTACAAAATGCTCCTGGACTCTCAGATTTACACAATACATAATTAACTATAAAATACTTCATTCCTTGTTCAAATTCAAGTTTTATCAAAAGTTATATTTTCTAGATATCTTATTACTTAAAAAAATATATTACATCTCCACAAGTATACTTAAAGGTAAAACTGTTTTCTTGATGCTTAAGAAAGTTCAGGCAACCTGGAAATGGGTAATTTCAAAAAGTGTAAACAATTTTAGTTATAAAAGTCATAATCTTCCACATTTTGTCATTCTTTTATAACTTCTTTTTTTTGAAAAACTTTTTCTAATAACTGATTATATCTTTTTAAACTGTTTCATTGCCTTGCAACTACAGTAAATCCCTGATTTAACAGACTAATTGGGGAAGGGGTATCTGCTATGGCAGAAAGTCTGTTAAATTGAATGTATTTTAAAAACACATGTTAATAACATTTTAACACATCTTGCACATTTTATGACATAAGTATGAATAAAACAATAATGTACAGTACATTGAGTAATTTATACTCACTGACTCTTTGTTCCAACTTTTTAGCATAATCTATTTTCAAAGAAAAAAGTTTTAAATTTTTTTGACAGGTCCAAAGTCCATTAAAATAAGGGTTTACTGTAATTTTTTTTTCTTTTACTTTACTGGGATTCTAGTGCTTTTTTGCAACGCTCCAAAGATGAGCATTGCTTGCTCAAAGCCAGTATTAAAGGTACCATATTTTGTAATAACTGCCCATCTAACTTGTAGTGTGAGGTAAACTGCACTGGTTGATCTAAATACCACTAGTGATGTTCAATATTATTGAACAATCGACTATAGATAATATGAATACTGGCTAATATTGTTATTGAAGTTCAATATTACTGATGTTGGGAATTATCAAAATTTACAAGGTTAATTACAGTAATTCAAGTACTTCATTCAAATTATTTTTTATTTATTTGTCACGATATAACAATTTAACTAGTTTTACTCCTCTTTTGAATCATGACTTTTCGTCTTATGTCAATATTTTTACTAAAATAATTGCCCAGTGGATAATTATTACAATAAATACATTATTTAAATACTATACAGTTCAAGGAGTTAGTATTTTATTTTGTGTTAAATCATTTTTGAGAAGTTCTCAGAGTTTGGATCTGATGAGACTTTTAATATCTCTAAAATAGAAAATAAAATAACGACTCCTTGAACTATATATATTTAGAAACTCAAATTCTAAAGAGTCAACTATTTCAAACAAATATATTGGCATTAGAGTGATTTAAAACTCAATTTATTAAAGAATTTTGCTTCACTTTTTTAATTTTAAAAAATAAAATATTATATAATCATCAAATTTTATAATTAAAACATTGTAAATAATAAAATACATAGATATGCAATTGTACTGGTATTAAAAAATAATATAATTTTTTCTATTATTAATTTTTCAATAAATTAATATAACATTCTTGCTATATTATTAAAACACATTTTTGTTATCAAAACCATAAGAAAAAATTAAAAAATAAATCAGGTCTTATATCATTAATGATGTGAAATACTTTTAACTTTTCTCTACGAAAGACTGGAATGTCTTACTTAAATAAATATTAGTATTTACAGAATCTCAAGATTTATAACTGTATATGTAATTTCTCAATTTTTATATTTTATTTAGATGTGGCATATTCAAAAATTTTATACCTCAAAGATAAAGTTTGAATGGTTCTTTCCCTGCTATATAACGTAGCAATGTCGATACTGATATTTTACTTCGAGACTGATCCGCAACATTCTCACTCCGGAAGGGTCTCGTGGCTCTGATGAGGCAATAAGAATCGAGTACTCGAAGTGCTACTAAAACTATCGCCACTGCTGCGGTTACTAGCATTACTCGCCGGAGTTCCTGGCAGAGACCCTTCCAAGTGAGACATTAGTATGAACCGGCTAGGAGATAATTGCGTCTGGATACCGTGGCCGTGATCGTTCGGCATGTCGATGCAGGTATTCGTTTTCTCGTCCTTTTCGTTATTTTCACAGATGACGATGGCTTCTGCTTCACCTTTTCTCCAGTCTCTCCCGTTATGTCTCCACTTGACACTCGGAGATTCATTATTACGTTTACATTCGGATATGTGGGTCATTTCGGTTTCCTGCGAAGCATCTAAACTCGTGTCCGTGCCTTGGTCCACTAAAATGGTAGTATTTGGATCTTCGGGTGTGTAATAATCTGAATCATCTCCTCCAGGTGATGCATCTTGAAATAAAAAATATATTGTTTTTAAAAATCCAAAAGTAAATTTGTTTTAATCTGTTGTTATTTTTACATATTTTAAAAACAATGTTTTATTGAGTAACTAAAATAATGCAAAATACAATTCTTTAAATGCAGTTAACAATATCAAAAACTCAAATTCTAGAAAGTAAAGTTTATGTATTATAACTTATAAATATAATAAGAGAGAAGGTCTCATTGAAGTTATTGGTTCCATTTATTCAAACATATTTTTTAGATTTTTTTTACTGCTTGTACAGCATTGTATCCTTTCCAAAACTTCTAAAGCACAATATGCCCAATATGCTTTTTATCCAAAGACATTACATTTTGTTTGAATAAATTGAAGATGAAAAGTAAAAAGTTTAAAATAAGCTTCTGAATGAAGAATACAATCTTGTATTAGCAATAATGTGTTAAATTTCACAACTGTTATAACTTAATTAAATCACATATCTGTGTTAAGTAATTGACAGCTATCAAAAATATGCAAAAACTTTGTTAGATCCCACTATAACTTTTACTCACTAACCATAGCTTCAGAGAAGTGTGTAGAAGCAAATGAAGTCTAAGAGGAAGGTTATAATAAACACAATTGAAGTAAAAAAGGATCTTATCACAAAGCATGAAAGCAGTATATGTATGGCAGATATGGCAGCCATGTTTAAGACACTGAAGTTGACAATGTGTAAGCAGTAAATGCAATTTTCATTTTATTGTACAGTATTTATGTATTTTATTTATTGTTTTAGTGTTTTAATTTTTTATCAGGGCATTTAATTATGTTTATTTTTATCTTAAATTATGTGTATTTGTTGCTTTAAGTTTAATAAACCAAAAATCACCATAATTAATCTGGCTATTTTTTGCTACTATTAATAATTAAATATTAAGTAATTTAGTATTAGAGGTAGATGTTAGATGCCATCTCTTATTGAAATTAGTAATTATAATAATTTAATATGTATTAAATAATTTTAGAATAGGCTGGAAGAAAAGAATCAGTCCAGAGCAGGATTCAAACTCACAATGCCCACTTACTGTGTGGTCACATTGCCAGTTATGCCACCCAGACCTCTGAGCAATTCTTCATTTCCAGACATTTAATTCTTGATATAACCATCCATGGTTATTCAAGAGATAACTGTGGATGGACTTGGATGTTACACACGATAAGAGATGACACCTGATGTCTATCTCTAATACCAAATTACTTAATATCTAATTATTAATACATCAGGCTTAGTAATGTTATAATATTACTAAGCCTGGGCTATTTTTTCCTACTATTAATAATTAGATATTAAGTAATTTGGTATACATACACTTTAAGTCTAAGTTTATCAAAATAGGTATCATTCAGAATCTGGGAATGGATTAATTAACTTTCCATTATTTCTAATGGGAAAAATTGCTTCAAACTTCAAACTGTCTCCTGGAATGAATTAAATTTGAAGTACAAGGCATCATTGTATTTATTTTATATGCACAAGGTGTATATCAGAAAGTAAGTTCTATTTTCAAATAGCACCCTTGCAGTACTGTAGTCAAGGCCATGTGCTTGCATGCTTGCTGAATTTCTTTATCCATTGGCAAGCAACAGATTTCATTTGCATACAATTAGATCATGTTGACTCATTGTTTTATGAACTTACAATGTTCAAGAAAATTGTCGAACCTGTTGCCTATGAAATATAGCTTTCTATCCATTTCTTCAATGCAAAACTTGGGAAACTGGCAGACTTTCATCACCAACTGCACAAGGTTTATGGAGAACAAGTCACGAGTGATTCAATGGTACAGAGATGGATGAGAAACTTTAAGGACACAGAAATGTGCATGACAATCCATGAAGTGACCAACTGTTTATCATTAATGATTTGGTGCACATGATAAAAAGGAAGGTTCATGAGGACAGATGATTCACCATTTTTCCACTTTTCCTGCAATTCTCACAAAATAGTGTCTGATCACCAGGATTTTTGGAAATCATGTTGGGTGCTCCCCAAGGAACACAATGAAATAAGTTGGTAGTATGTTGACTTTCTGATATGATACAGTGAGCAGAATGATGAATTCCAGAGATGCATTATTACAGATAACAAGATAAGAGTGCTGCATACAACCTCTCAATCAAAACAGTAATCCATGGGGTAAAGCCAAACATCATTGCCAAGTGAGAAAATCTTCAAACAGACCATTTCAATCAAAAGGTCATGTGCACAGTGTTTTGGGAAAGAAAAAACATTTTGCTTGTAGAATTCTTGCCTCCAGGTTAATAATCAACATAGGCATCTATTGTGAGACACTAAAAAACTGTCTTGCAATCCAAAACAAATGATGGGGCATGCTTAGTTGGAATAATGTGCTGCTTCATGATAATGCCTACTCATATACTGATGCCAAAATGCAAGATCTCATCACAACACTCAGCTGGAAACCAATGGTTCATCCCCCTACAGCTCCAACCCAGTGCCAAGCAATTCCCATTTGTTCCTGCATCTGAAGTGGCAGACATTTACATGATGACAACAATGTCAAATAAGCCATGGACATGTGATTTGTATCTCAACATCATTCTACAATGTGAGGATACAAAAATTAATGCCTCACTATGACAAATGCCTCAACAGTTGTGGAAACTATGTCAAAAAGTAGTGTGAGATATATACAATACAGCTAATGCCAATAACTATGGTTTGAAAGTAGAGTGTCATATGCTTTTACTAGCCCACTGGAACTTACTTTTTGGATACCTCTCATAATTTTGCAATTACACTGATGATAACACATTACAATAGTTTATAAAAGCATGTAGACAAATCAACTTACCTGTCATTGCTGATTTATCATTTCCTTCACATAAATGAAGTGAATGTGGAGTTGATAAAAATACAGAATTGTTAACAGAATGACAAACACTGGATGGAACTGCTGCTTTTTGATTTCCAGCTGTATTACCTTCTAATAATGATTTTGTTTCAGCTACATCTACATCCATGTCCTAAGTAAAAGAACAAATTTTAGAATTGTAAATTAACTAAATATTTATTCTTATAAAGTAGTAGTGGTTTGGGTGGCACTAATCACAAAATTAATTTTTCTAATCACAAAACTAATTTTTACTCAAGTAAATTTTAAAATATGAAATAATATTAAGTTGTATTGATAAAATTTGTTTTAATAATAAGTTGTTCTGAAAATTTGTTTTAATCACAAAATGAATTTTCAGAACAACTTATTATTAAAACAAATTTTATTAATGCAACTTAATATTATTTCATATTTTAAAATTCTCAACATTCAGATTATTTCCTTTGAATAAAAATTAATTTTGTGATTAGAAAAATTATTTCAGTGTTATAATATTTCAAGAAAATTTATAATAAAACTTCTTATTGAAAACCTATTCAGAACAACTTATTATTAAAACAAATTTTATCAATACAACTTAATATTATTTCATATTTTAAAATTTACTTGAGTAAAAATTAATTTTGTGATTAGTGTCACCCAAACCACTACTACTCTTATAATATTAAGTTTACAAAGAAAACACTGACTCCACATGAATAAAAAAGTAAAAATACAATAGACTGAAATACAGTACTCAGTTACTTTCTAAGACCATAAGCCTACATAATATTGCTTGGCTATGTATATTCTAATAAGACAATAGTTCATATTTACTCTTGCTAATCATATTAACTGAATTATTAACCAAAAAATTTGAAAACATGCAAGGAATTCAAAAGTAAAAAAAAAAATACCGATATATATTCAATCTTCAAATGCAGTTGATTTCATTTTTATTGTTAATAAATTTATCTATTTAATAATTAATTCACCTTAATCTTATTATAAAACTGAAATTAGAATGGATTATCTTGAACCAAACATCTCCACAGAAAGTTAGTTTGATTTTTGGGTGTGTTATTAGCACAAACCTGAATTAGAGACCCTCCATAAATTACATAAGGGCAATTTTGGCCATTCTAGACCCCAGCCATCCCTGTGTAAGAAACCGTAATATTTTCTTTGATCACCCCTCCCCTTCCCTATCTTACGTAATATTTAGGCATGATTTTATAGAAAAATTTTGACAAAAAAAATTTTTTTAATGAAACCCTAAAAACCTTAGATCCAAAATATATAATTATTAATTAGTTAATTAATATGTACAGTACTATTATTTATAAAAGACTTTATGTGAACAAATTTAAAAATATAAAAATTTAATGAATTCGAATGAACAATTTATTTTAAGAACTTTATTTTTTAATTATTAACAATATTATTATTGTTATTATCATCATTAATCAACATCATAATATTTATTTTTATAATAATTTTAATTTTCGCAAAAGACACAAAAAACTTTGCCAGATTGACTAGCTAGTGCACGTGTAAACAGCAACGTCATACAAAATAAAACAAGAGAAAATAGAGACAAACCACATTCCGTTGCCATATTGATTACATCTTGGCTAAGGACAAGAAAATAATCTACATGCTACTAAAATGTGCTAGGTGCACCTGGGAACTAAATAATAAAGCTTATAAAACTCTATATAATGGGGCAATACAACCAATGCTACTTTACATGGCCTCTGGCTGTGGTCATGTAACTATAAATAGTAAAAATTCCGTAGCAAGTAAATTACTCTCTCTTCGAAGCCAGTTTGACATCAGAATTTCAAAGTGCTGCAGAACTGTTTTTACTAATGTCTCTCTGATACTAGTAGAGCTTCTTCCTTTGCCACTATGTATTGTAGAAAACAATATTGTAGAAAAGATAGGTTCTAAACTACTACATCAGAACTACAAACGTCAAGGCTCAACAACGGTCTCTACTCCTATCTACGGCTGTTCATACGCTACCACATTGCAATTACCCTACTATCTCTGATCATCATCCTGTAAACAAGGTTATTTGGTGTCATCTGCTTCCTCCATGGATAATCATGCAGACATTAATATCTACACAGATGGGTCCAAAAGCTCCCTTCTTGTCGGCTCAAGTATCTGTATCTTCCTCCAAACTGACATATTTTGCCAAAAATATGTTAGAAGGTACAGATACCTCCAACATACCTCCATCTATCAAGCTGAAGAAGATGCCGACTACCAAGCTGTTCAGTGGGCCACTTCACTACCAAACGAAACTCTGTCTATCAACATTTACAGTGATTCTCAGTCTGTCCTAAAAGCTCTATTAAATCCCAATTGCAATAGCAATAAAATCGCATATATCCAGCACCATATTAAAAATCATGTAAATAAGATAACTTCTATATTTGTTCCTGGCCATACTGGCATACTAGGAAATGAAAAAGCCAACTTTGAGGCTAAGTCAGCTGCAAAGGACACTGACTTGGACTACACTCACATCCCTCACTCACATAGCAGCCTTAAAAATTATATTCATGACAATGCTATGAAAAAGTAGAATCAACAATGGTTGAGCTGTAAAACTGGTAGAATAACAAGACTATTTTTCTAGTGTTGAATGCAGGTTCTCATCACTACTTAGAGATTTAACGTTTGCTGCTGCTCAACTACTTACTGAGCATGATAATTTTAGAAGCTAACTGGCAAGGTATAACCGGGCAGAAACTGCCTCTTGCTTTTGCTCTACAGAAAACCTAGACACCGTCGACCATATGATCATTGTCCAATTTACGATCAAGATAGACTTATAGACTTATTCTGAAATTAGAAAACTTTACGCTTGGTTTCAGGTGGCCACGTCCACTCGATAAGCTTGTTCAGAAGCCACTGTTTGATGCTTTTTACAATTATGTTCAAAAAAATATAAAAGAAAAGACTATTTATAATTTCTAGTTTTACATTTTAGTTTTCACACAAAGGCCAAATACTAATTTTATGTTTATTTTGTATCATGTATTTTGATTTATGTATTCTTAGTATTATACACATGTAGGAGTGGTGCACTTATTCTAATAATAAAAAAAAAAAGAGAGAGAAACCACCACACTGTCTTTCTCCCATGATAAAAAATGTGTAGAACGTGAGTCTGCTAGCTTTATTATTCTATCATGTCACACGAGATGGTGTTAGTATAACGAGCGTTCTTGAAAGAAATCGACAAATTCAAAACTCCACCACTCAACGAGATCAAAAAATAAATATAAGAATATTACGTAAGACGAGATCTATTACCCCTACCCCTGAGTAAGAAATCGTAAGAAATCCTTGACCCCATCCACTTCAAAATACCTTACGTAATTTATGGACAACCCCCTCGCAACAGCTGGAAGACTTTTGTTTAGGAAAGAAAGTTTTAACCAACGCATTGCAGACGAAACGTGAGCCTTCGTTGCCTTGTGGCCACTTACGAAGAGATGGAGCAAAAGCACGTGGATGTGCTCTTTTGAATACAGCCGACTCCCTATAACACGGGTTCATATAATTCTGATTCCTATATGAAGGCGAAAAAATTGCGACAGTATTCGTACAAACACGATAAAAGAAACTCCTATAATTCGGTGAAACTTCATCCCCGACTCGTGTCGTGGCAGGATGGGTCGAATCTAGACCAATAGCGGATATTGCACAAACCGTTGAGTTTAAACGAGCAGCGGACCTACTAAAAACCATTTATTATTTAACATCCATAAAAATTATATTTATATTAATGATGTCTCTAAAGTTCAGCGAATTTTTCACAAAAAAAAAAATAATAATTTATCACGACGCACGCGAGCGCCATTCGATGACAAGCTCCACGACGAAAACAAGCTTAAGCAATGGCGACGTCGAACGGTGCACACTCGGTAAGTAATCCTACAATTTTTTGTTTATAGCATAGTTTATATGGATTATTCCCAAAAAAATTATACGCATTTTGGAAATGTTGAGTCGAATTAGTCTAGAATCGATTAATTTTATGGAAGAAAACCTTTCAAACAGCCGTAGTCCGTAAACTGCATACCTGTCGGGCTGAGATTGGCTCATGTATTCAAGGATTCTTAGAACATCAATTTCATAAAGAACGGAACGTATCTGCGGTGTTATAGGGGAGTCGACTGTATTTCATATTGTCAGACATTGAAGATGCATCAATTTCCAATGAAATACGTGATGATAAGCGCTTTGGTAAGCCTAAATCGAACGTTCTAGAATTTTCCCCCCCAGTCGTGTCTGATTCAAATGTCTAAATTACAGTTTGAAAAAATCATAAAAATGTAAAGGGCAAATTTTTTCCAAAATTTATTTGAAATTAAAAATTTCAAAAACAAATCAGACTAGCCTAATGTCAGGTATATATCAGGAGCATTTACTTTAGTAAACTGAAAGGTAATTTTTAATTGTTAGGTAATTGGAAGGTAATTGATAATTTACAAAGAAATTCGTGACATTTAATAAATTTACAGTAAAATTTATATGAAATTCTAATTGCGTTTTAGTAAAGAGCAATAAATTTCATTTATTCATGAATCACGTTTTCAATTAATCAGACCACTTTAGTTTTATGTCTTTCGGAATTACATAAAGTTGCTATCGAGAACAAGTCACGCAGGAACACTCTTTTTTTAATGAAAAAAGTACATTTATTTTTTATAATTTAGAAGGAATATGCATTTCAAGCTTTACGCCTGTCTTCAGTTCTTATTTTATTAGCTATATCGGCAAAAACCCATGTAAGAAATTACAGAATTTAGTAAATTATATTTAAAATACGCCCACAAAATATGGATNTTAAAAACAGACTATTTTATTGCAATTTAATCATATAAATAATCCTATAAAGTTTGAATATATTTATGTAATATTAAATTATATTTTAAAAGAGAATTAAAAAAAAATCAAATTTTTTAAATTATACAAATAAAATAAATTTAACAATAAATAACAAAACTTTTGCAACTACCTTCTTCTTTCCGCTGTTGATTTCATTCACAATATGAAGAGAGTCCGAGAGGAGACGAACTTTCTCGGGAGCAGAGAGAGCAATAATTCCTTTCCTGTGCCTCTTGGCTTCGCCTCGTGTCAATGATAATGTTTCGGACTTGTGAGTGGCTTTGTCAGGAGATAGTATAGGAGATAATACTTCTGGCGAGCTTTCATTTTCTTCCTGAGGATGGCAATTATTTATTGGTTCCTTCTCAGTTGTACTATTTCCCAATGCTCTTAAAGATGCTGCACTGTTGGAATGAAGTCTGCAAAAAAATTACTTTGGATAAAAAAAATACATATACACTGTTTTATTTAAAATCTTACTAACCTTTCAATGCTTCTTAATTTTTGAGAAATATCAGGACTCTCTACATGAGGTTGCTGAACTGAAAAAATTATTGACTTTTATCATCATAATCACTTATAACTTAAAATCATAATTTAAGCTTAATGAAATAAATATTTTAAAATAAATAGCTTCCAGAAGACTAACAATATTTAACATCATCATCATTAAAAATAATACTTTACTTCATTATTTTGAACAGAAAAATTAATTTAGTTAAAATGCACATTTTATAGAATGATATTACAGTATGCTAATCCAAACAGCTTCTATCATTCCCCTAACAAAAATAATAGACTTGCCAACTATATACTTACAGTACACATGTAGACGTAAGTCTTATGTTGTAAACGTTGTTGCTCATTCTTTTTGTGAACTTGTTTGACCTAACAATTCTAATGTCTATTTACTGCTGTAAAGTATCTTACAACAGTAAAAATTGGCCTCAAAGCATAAGCATCATATTATTATCATCATATCTCTGGTCTCAATTATTGGGTTGTTCGGAAAGTAAGTTCGTTTTTTTTATCATTAGACGGATTAGTCGTATTTTTCCCGCCATTTTCGTTCTAAACCATATTATCATTATATATTTTGACAGCTAGCATTTTATGGCTTATTTGTAGAAAATTTTGTTTGATTTCGTGCAATTGTTTATTTTTTGTGTCCCATCAAATATGGAAGATCAAAAGCAGCATCTTCGGCATATTTTGCTTTTTTATTACCAAAAAAACAAAAATGCCGTTCAAGCAAGAAAAAATTTGTCTGACATGTATGGTGGAGATGTGTTGACAGAACAACAGTGCCAAAACTGGTTTACAAAATTTCGTTCTGGCAATTTCAGTATCAAAGATGCACCACGTTATGGATGGCCAATTGAAGCCAATGAAAACAAAATAAAAGTACTGACTGAAGCAAATTGCGGAACAACAACACGTGAAATCACTAAGAGATTAAATTTGTCAAATTGAACTGTTTATGAGTACTTGAAACAAATTGGTTTCGTTTCAAAGCTCGATATATGAATTCCACGAGTTCTTAATGAGAAATGCTCTATTTGGTGGGATATTAAAGGAATTTTTTTTTGAGCTTTTACCAGACAATTTAACAATTGATTCGAAAGTGTACTGCATTCGAGTAAACAAATTGCATAATATCATCAAACAGAAAAAGCCGGCCAGAATTGATTAAAAAAACAGCTGTAGTGTTTTACCACAATAATGTCAAATTTCACACAAGTTTGGTAATTCGTCAGAAACTGTTATAACTTAGATGGGACGTGCTATCACACCAGCTGTATTTGCCACATCGAGCACACTCAGATTATTACTTGTTCCAGTCTATACAACTTTTTTTAACTGTAAGACATTTACTTGAAATGACAATGTCAAAAATCACTTGGATCGGTTTTTTGTAAGCAACGATCAAAACTTTTATGAATGTGAAATCGTGCTACTACCACAAACGATGACAACAGATATTTGACCAAAATGGTCAACATATAATTCAATAAAATATTTATTTATCATAAGAATATTG